TTCACATCAATGACTGTGCCGGTGGTCGCCATAAAGGGTCGTCCGAGGAGGATAGCGTGCTCCTTACTGTTTTCTTGTGCGTTACCCACATCAAGCACCACAAAGTCCACGGGGACTATCAGTTTCCCCACACGGACGAGCACATCCTCCACAATCCCTTCCGGATGACGGAACGAACGATCTGCAAGCTGTAAGCGCATCCTAGTGGGCTTCAAATCTCCAAGCCCGAGCCGATAATAAACAGCGAGTGGCATAAGATTAATGCCAGCACCGAGATCAAGCATTCCCGAAACAGCTTGACCACTCCCAAAAGCTATATTGATCACAAAGCCACCAGGATCTCTTTCTTTCTTCGGTAAGTAGTGTTGGAAGACACTCGCCGCTTCACAAATTACCACCTCATCATCATTGTCGAACCGCTTCTTTTTCGTGGCCACCTCCTTGAAAAATCGTGCATGGGCCGGTATTTTCTTCAATACATCGGGAGGAGATAAGTCAACATTGGCCTTAACCAACATCGCATGAAGGTCCCGAATCATCATCCGGTCCTTCTCCTCTAACAGTCGGCTCGGGAAGGGGATTTTCGGTCTGTAGGGGTTCGGAGATCTATGCAAAGTCGGCTCAGTAGGCGATATCTTCAGAGCCTTATCTTTCTCATTTTGCTTCCTCGGGCCCTTATTATCGTCCATGATCACCGTCACGGATTTTGCGTGTTCCGGTTGGCTCGGTAGCTTTCCTTTATCCAGTTCAGACTCGATGCTCCCTACCCTTGTGGCTAGCTGGCCCACTTGTGTCTCAAGACGCTTAATGGAGGCGTCATGATTTGTGACAAAATTGAGGATTTTGTCCAGCTTGTCGTCTGTGCTCGACTGGGTTGGTCCGGTTTCTGGTGCTGGCAGCCTTAACATCCCCCTAGGTTGCTGCTGCTGAGGGACAAAGTTGGTTTGAGGTGGTTGCTGATAGTGATTGTTGGACCATGAAAAATGAGGGTGGTTTCGCCACCCAGGGTTGTATGTGTTCGAGTATGGGTCATTTTCGGGATGGTTTTGGTAACCCTGCATTGCATTCACCTCGGTAGTTTGGCCTCCATAGCCTGGCTCGACAGCTGATGGGCACACCTCAGAGCTGTGCCCCTGTACTCCACATGCTCCACAAGCACTCACGGCCATAGCCTGTATCGGCGAGGAACTTCGAGCATTTAGTAGCCGCATCTGCTCCGTGAGCTCGGCTAACTGCTGGGCCATAGCATTATTACTCGAGCCAACCTCATTCACTGTGGACCGCTTCCCTCTGATACTCTTCTGAGACGAGTTGGCACTCATCATCTCGTAGATTGCAATCATTTCTTCAGCTGTTTTGCCCCCAATATCCCCTCCAGCTGCGTTGTCCACCATATACTGCAAGTTTTGGTGGAGGGAGTCGTAGAAGCAATTCGCTAATAGTCCTGGAGCGAGGTTGTGGTGGGGGCACTGCCTTTGGAGATCCTTAAAACGTTCCCAAGCCTCGTGAAGAGGCTCGTTTGGCAGTTGAGCAAAGGAGACTATCTGAGACCGGATGTCTTGGGTCTTCTGATGGGAATAATACTCCCCGACAAATTTGGAGTAGACTTCGGCCCAAGTTGTTAGAGAATCTAGGGCAAGAGTCATGAACCAAGCCTTGGCTCGGTCCTTCAAGGTTTCTGGAAAACACCGCATTTTGAGCTGGTCTTCGGTTAGCCCGTGTAGTGGGAACGTCTGGAGGACGTTGTAGAACTCCCGAAGAAAGTGAAGCGGGTCTTCGTTGGAGATCCCGTGAAAGGATGGGAGCTGATTGTAGTGGACCATCTTCAGCTCATAGTTTCGGGCGTTTTGCTTCAGCCGGATACAGGAAGTGATCGGCCCAATCATGGGTTGGGACAAATCTCGGAGGATGTTGCGAGGCGGTTGTTGATCAGCCATGTCTGAGTTACTCCCCTCGGATGACTTGGGGGAAAGCTCCTTTTCTGTGTGTGATTCGAGGGTCAGCTCTTCTATCAGCTCTCTCAAGCTCTCGTTAACCGACTTGTTGATTGGGGATAATATAAGTCCACTCCTGGTACGCATACACGCAAGCAACAAACAGGTTACGAGCACCAATAGTAA